TTTTTTGTTTTGTTTTTAGTAAGCTCTATGCCCAATGTGGGGCTTGAACTCACAACCCAAAGGTCAAGAGTCACATGCTCTACCAAATGAGCCAGCCAGGCACCCCTTCCTTTCTAATTCTGATATTTTATTTCTCTTTCTTGCCTAATTGCTCTAGCTAGGATCTCCAAGTTAACTATCTTGAATAGGAGAAGGGAGAATGGGTACCTTTGTCTTCTTCTTGATCTTAGAGGAAAAGCATTCAACCTTTCAACACTGATTATAATGTTAGCTGTGTTCGTCATATATGGCCTTTTATCATGTTGAGATATGTTCCTTTCATGTGTAATTTGTTAAGAGTTCTTATCATGAATGGATGTTGAATATTGTCAAATGCTTTTTCTGCATCTATTGAGAGGATCATATGTTTCTTTTCTTTCATTCTATTAATGTGATATAAATTCTATTAATTTCCATATGTTGAACCATCGTTGTATTCCAGGGATGAATCCCACTTGATCATGATGCTTTTTAATGTGTTTGATCATGATCCTTTTCATGTGCTGCTAAATTTGGTTTGCTAGTATTTTACTGAGAATTTTTGCAACTATATTTATCAGTAATATTGGCCTATAGTGTTCTTTTCTAATAGTGTCCTTTTCTGGTTTTCATTTCAGGATAATGCTGGCCTCACAAAATGAGTTTGGGAGTGTTCTTTAAATGTTTGGTGAAATTTAGCGGTGAAGCCATCTGGTCCTGAGCTTTTCTTCATTGAGAGATTTTTTATTATTGACTCAATCTTCTTACTAATAATTGGTCTCTTCAGATTTTCTATTTCTTTTTGATTCAGTTTTGGTGAGTTGTATGTCTCTAGAATTTTTCCATTTCTTCTAGGTTCTCCAGTTTGTTGGCATATAGTTGTTTATAGTAGCCTCTTATGATCCTTTGAATTTTTGTGTGATATCAGTTGTAATGTATCTTTTTTCATTTATAATTTTATAGATTTGAGTCCTTTCTCTTTCTTCCTTGGTTAGTCTAGCCAAGCCTTTGTCAGGTTTTTTTTTTTTTTTTTTTTATCTTTTCAAAGAATCAACTCGTAGTTTGGTTAATCTTTTCTAATGTTTTTCTGTTCTCTGTTTCATTTATATTTGCTCTAATCTTTATTATCTTCTTTCTTCTAACTTTGGGCTCAGTTCTTCTTTTTCTAGTTCCTTTAGGTGTAGAGTTAGATTGTTTATGTGTGATCTTCCTTGCTTCTTAACATAAGCATTTATTGCTATGATCTTCCCTCTTAGACCTGCTTTTGCTGCATCCCACAAGTTCTGGTATGTTATGTTTTTATTTTCATTTGTCTCAAAAAAAACTTTTGGTATTCCCCCTTTAATTTGTTCTTTGATCCACTGATTGTTCAGAAAAGTTTTATATAATTTCCATGTGTTCATGAATTTTCCAGGTTTCCTCTTATTTTTTCCTGTCTTCATGCTGTTATAGTCAGAAAAGATACTTGGTATGATTCCAATCTTCTTGAATTTGTTAAGACTTTTTTGAGCTTAAAACATGGTCCATCCTAGAAAACGTTCCCTGTGCAGTTGAGAATAATGTGTATCCTGCTGTGGTTGAATAGAATGTTCTGTGTCTGTTAGGTCCATTTTGTCTACACTGTTGTTCAAATACTGTTTCCTTACTGATCCTCTCTCTGGATGATCTATCCGTTGTTGACAATAGAGTATTAAAGCCCCCAACTATTATTATATTACCATTTATTTCTCCTTTTATCTCTGTTAGTTTTTATTTTATAGATTTATGTGATCCAACGCTGGGTGCATAAATATCTACAACTGTTATATCTTCTTAATTTCTGACTTCTTTATCATTATATAATGACCTTCTTTGTCTCTTTTTACCAATTTTAGTTTAAAGTCTGGTTTGTCTGATAGAAGTATAACTACCCTTGCTTTTTTTTTTTTTTTTTTTTTTTGGTTACCTTTTGCTTGAAATGTTTTTTTCTATCTCTTCACTCAGTCTCTGTGTGTCTTTAAGGCTTAAGTGAGTCTCTAGTAAGCAGTATATTGCTGGATCTTGTTTTTATTTTTCAATCCATTGCACCATTCAATGTATTTTAACTGGAGAATTTTACCCATTTTTGTTTAAAAAATTATTGCTAGGTAAGAACTTCCTATTATCATTTTGTACGTTGTTTCCTAGTTGTTTTGTAGATCCACTATTCCTTGTTTATCTTGCTATCTTTTTTGGTGTGTTGATGTCTTTTGATATCAATATGCTTTGACTTCTTCATCATGTTCTTTTGGGTAATTACTACAGGATTTTCCTTTGTGGTAACCATAAAGCTTATATAAAATATCTTAAACTTGTAACACCTTATTTTAAACTGATAAGAGTGTCAATAGAATTTATAAACTTTATACTTTTACTTCTCACATTTTAGGTTATTATGTTACAATATCCATATTTTTATATTGTCTAACTAACAACAGGTTATTATAGTTATGGTTATTTTTACTGTATTCATTTTTTAATTTTTAAACTAGAGTTTTAAATGAATTATTCACTACTACTACAATATTGCAGACTCTAACTATGACTATATATTTACCATTACCTATGAGATTTACACTGTATTTCTGTTTTTATGATGTTAGTGTTCTTTTATTTTCACCAAAAAACTCACTCTAGCATTTCTTATAAGGCAGGTCTGATAGTAATGAACTCCCTCAATTTTTGTTTGTTCAGGACTTTGTACCTTGTTCACTTCTGAAGAATAGTTTCATTGGATATAGAATTCTTGGCTGACAATTATTCTTTCTTTCAATATTTTGAAAATGTCATCCCATTCTTTCCTGGCCTAAAAAGTTTCTGTTGAGAAATCTGTCTATAGTCTTATGAGAGGTTTCCATGTATGTAATGTCTCTTTTCTCTTACTGCTCTTGAAATTCTTTGTCTTTGACTTTTGACAATTTAATTATAATGTGTCTTGGTGTAGCCCTATTCAAGTTCAACCTATTTGGAGTCCTTTGGGCCTCATGGATCTAGATATCTATTTCTCTCCCTAGGTTCAGGAAGTTTTCAGCCATTATTGCTTTAAATATACTTTATGTCACATTCTCTTTCTCTTATCTTTCTGGAATTCCCATAATGCAAGTATCATTTTTTCATTGTCTTATTGCTGTCAGCTTTCTTCACTCTTGCTCATTCTTTTTTCTTTTTGCTCCTCTGGATACTTTCCAATGTCCTATCCTTCAAATCACTCATTCTTCTGCATGGTCAAGTCCACTTTTGAAACTCTCTATTGAATTCTTCAGGTGGGTAACTGTATTTTTCAACTCTAGGATTTCATTTTTGTTTTTGATGGCTGCTATTTCCTTGTCAAACTTGTCATTTCATTCATGCATTATTTTGCTAATCTCATTTTGTTGTCCACTTGTAGTTCACCAAACTTCCTAAGAAGTTCATTCTGAATTCTTTGTCTGACAGTTCACAGATCTCCATTTCTTTACAGTTATTGCAGCTTTACTAGATTTCTTTGATGTGTCATATATACGTGACTTTTCATGATCCTTGGTTCCTTCCATTGGCATCTGCACATTTGAGTAATCAGACTCTACCAGATGTTACTGGTTTGCTTTGGCAGAGACAGTTCTTCACCAGTCACTTTAGTTTGGGTTTCTGGTCATATTTATTTTTAATGTACTTAGATAGGTGAAACCTGCTTTTATGGTCCACTTTTGGGTGAAACAACTGTTCAAGCTCTGAGGATAGGTACAAGGGATACGCCATGGGCTGAGAACAGTTGAATAAAACTGCTGGCTTGGACCCCAACCAAAGTGCAGCTGTAGGATGGGTTCCACACTTGCCTAGATTCTCTTGTCAGGATTACCAGATGATAGAGACTGGCTACAATATTCAGTAGTGGATGGGGCCATGAATTAACTTCCCTGCCCTGGGAGAGCTGCAGGATGGGACCCAGAGCCTGTATAGCTTGTTGTTTTGGAATCTGAACCAAGCCAAAGTGTGAGTTAAATTTCCTACTCTAGTGAGGCCACTGGTTTTGCTCTACAGATGGGAAAGCCATGGACTATGCTGCCTATTCAAGTGCCACTGCATGTAGGGTTGTTGAATAGGCTTTGCAGCTTTCCTGCTGTGGTTAGGTTCCCTGGTCAGATAGATAGGCTGTATTCAGTGATGAGTAGAGCTACAAATTAGATTCCCTGCCCGGGTACAGTGGGAGAAGCAGCTCTACGGCTGGTAAAATCCTTAGTTGTCTTATCTCAAACTGATCCAGACACCAAGTTCCCTGACTGAATAGGACCAGTGGCTTTGTTCTGCAAACTACTGACTTTGTCTGACCACCTCTTGGCTCAAGTGTTGCTGGGCCACACAGCTTCCAGGAGTTGTCTACAGTCCTTCTAATGAGATGGGGCCAGAAGATGTTTCTCTTCACAGCAGGTGGGTCTATGTGTCAGCAACTTTGCCTGGGTGGGAGGTGGAAGAGCTACTCCAGGCTACTCTCAATTTTCAAAACAGGTTCTCCAGTTGCTAGTAGCTGGAGCCTTTGCTATGAATTAATCCCCCTGCCTATGTATAGTACAAGAACACTACATGCCTGATAGTGGCTTTGTTCTAGGGATGACCAACTCTGTCTGCCCACCTGTCAGCTGGAGTGCCAATGAGCCACACTGCTTCCAGGAATTGTTGCCAGTCCTTCTGATCAGATGGGGCAGAAGACACTCCACAGCAGTTGGGGCTGTGATTCAGCTCCTTCCCTGGGCACAGGCAAACCAAGCTCTAGGGCAGGCAAAACTCACTTGAGGATCAGAATCAGGCAGATTTGAACCCTGCTGACTTCCTTGGTCATGAAGCACCCCTGACTTGATTCTGCAGATGAACAAAACCACAGTTTGGGATTACTACTTGGGCACTGCAGGGATGAACTTGGTCTGC